TTCTTTATTCAACAAACTGGGAATCTTTTATCTGTGCCTCATCTCTTTTTCCCTAGCTTGGAGTTAGGACTCATATTTCCTTATCTATTAAACTACTCAAGGAGCGTGTAGGCAACGTCTAAACGATCCATATCGCGAACATTAAAAATCCTCACTAATATGTCAACTTCTATTTTTGTTTAAGATATGTGTGTGTGTGTGTGTGTGTGTGTGTGTGTGTGTGTATATATATATATATTTCCCTTTTCTTTTTGTTCTTTCAGATAGCCATACAAATGTTTGTACCCTGTATCCTATCTCTATCTGGCTTTTAACTGTGACAATTAGATATGCGAATCACTGTTCAATTACGGATCAATCTTGACCAGGAAAAGCTTTGACTTTTATGTTTGTTGTAAGCAGCTTATGCAAGTATCTAATGGTGGCTTCAGGTAGGGCGTCAGTTTTCATTCTTCGGGCAAAAGTTCAAACAACTATCAAGGTATTTTTGTGTTGCGCTCTTGTCAGTCAGTGAATTCAAAAGCTTTAGCAATGTTAATTCAATTTATTACAACCAGGCTTGGGATCACGCTGTTGGCATGATATGTGTGCATGAAGCTGGTGGAAAGGTATATTCCGCCTACCCTGCATATTTCCATTTTTTACTTCCAATTTTGTCTCTTAACATTGTGATCATCCTTCTGATGAGCTACATGGTAACAAGTACAAAACAAAAAAAGTCGAACTGATCAAATCTGAAACAGAAAGGAAACTAGAGGGAACTTTTTTGTTTTCTCATATAGCAGCTTAGTAAGGTTTTCGATTTGCCTAATTTTGCAGCAATATTATTGGATATGTACTTTACTTGGGACTGCTAGAAGTATTTTGATAAATACATGTGTAAGTTGTAACATTAAAAATTCTCAAATGCTAACTGAAGGGATAAGACTATCTCATATCACTAATTGAATACTTACGCAAGAGTGATTGAAAAAAAAAAAAAAAGAATATAGGACAAATATGTGATGATATAGATGTCATCACGGGGAGTCCGTCCTCTTCATTTAAATGACACCTCCACTTGATAAGTCCAAAGAATTTATTAACAAAAAAAAAAGATGATACAAAGGTGATGAAAGAGAGAGAAAATGCCGGTGTTGGTACTGTAACACGACAAATTTTAGACGCGCATTCTTCACTGAAGCGTGTTTCTTTTATTTTTTGAGGGTAGTTCTTAACTATCTAGTGTGAAATTGCTAATAGCATGTTAGTACTCATACCATATGTTGAACCATAGTTAACTATATCTGAGCTTCCACTTTCCCATGTATAATACTTGATGAAACATAAGTCTTAACGGCCGCTTCTCACAGCTCTGTACCTTGTTCATAAACCATAAACAGTCATGTACTTTGGATTGGCTTTTAATGAAGGAATCCCGTTGTTGTTTGTTCGGCTCACTTTGATATAAATGTCGTTGTAAAATTGTACGAACCATACATCAGAACTACACATTTCTGCTGTTATTTCAACGATTATCTTTCGAGTTTTTGACAAATCATGGATCTGTAAATTTGTCTTAATCAAAGAGATTAACCCGTGCTGATGTGATTAGGTGACTGATTGGAAAGGGAGTCACATCGATCTCACGGCCGACGAAAGTGGACGGAGGATCATTTATCCCTCGGGCGGTGTCCTTGTGACCAATGGAAACTTGCACAATAGGATCATAGAGCTCATCTCTTGTGCCACAACGGTTTGACAGAGGATGTGTTACTTCATCTACATTGAGTTCCAATTTTTTTTTTTACAGAAAAAAGTAAAATATGGAATAATAAAAGACAACAGGAAAGGAAAAAAAAAAAAAAAATCTCAGTCACCCAAATTTAGTCTCGGTTTACATGAAATTTTGAAGATGTATCGGTTGATTGCCAGCTAAAATTATATGCTGCGTGAATTGTTTGCAAAATGAATATTCAGTAACCTAGAGCAGTAATATTGCTGATGAGGAGCTGATAATGTAATTCATTGACATTTCGGTATTAATTTAACGTCAGGGAAGACAAAGTTTCATTTAACTATGCTGGATTTCAAAGAAGTGTTGTGAGTGTTCATATATAATTTCAGAGTGGATTTTTAATCCCCTTGGTCTAGATAGATGATGAAGTAGCTTAGCTTGGAATTTAAAAGACTGTTCCCAAATATGATTTGTGTGCCTTTGCGTCGCATTAGGAAGTACGATTGTTAGTATTATTAATTTGGGCCATTAATAGTAATCTGATTCAATTTTACTCGAAGGATGAGTTTAATTTTCACTCATGTCATCACATACCCAACCTCACAAAACACATTAGTCGGACAAAGATCTTAAAGTGGAGTTTTTAGAGTATCGAATTCTAGACACATTCTTAGGGGCGGCGAAGAAAAGAAAAGACATCTCTACTCCTACACTAATAGTATGTTTTGTCGTTCATCTCTTAGGGTGCATTTGGTTGCAGTGAGGAAATGGTAATAGGAATGATAATATTAATAGTAATAGAATAGAATGGAAAGGAAAGATGATTCATTTGTTTGGTTCTACTTTTACAAATACAATAGAATGAGATATGCATATTTTCATTTTGACAAAATTACCCATCATATTAATATAACTAATATCATGTATATTAATATAATCATTTAATAACTAATATTATATATATAATTATAAGGATATAATATATATAATTATAATTATAATTATAGTTATATAATTATTTATTATTATAGTACTATCATAATATATAATATAAAATGATATGTAATAAAATAAAATAATGATATTGTGATTATTTTATATTATAATGTTACAATTATACTATATTATATTATTAGAAATATAGTATAATTATAAAATGTAATAATATAATATAACATATTATAATTATAATATGTAATATAGTATATTATCATTTCTAATTATAGTATATTATCTATTATAATATAAATTTATATTGTAATTATATAAATACTTAATTATAATATTATAAAATATAATGTATATTATATTAATAAATATAATTACAATGTATAATACGTAATATAAGATATTATTATAATATTAAATATGATATAATATACGTATATAATTATATTATATTATATAAATTATTATAATATAATATTAATTATATTATAAATATTAATATAATAATTATAATATTCATGGGTAATAATGGAAAAGAAAATTAAAGGAGCTTGAAATGGGCATTCCTCTCATATGAGGAAGAAATGGTGATTCACCAATTTAATGGAAAAGTCATTCCATTTTAAATGGTCATTCATTTTCTTAAAACCGACCAAACATGAGAATAAGCATTGATTTTTTTCCATTCCTCCCAACCAAACACACCCTAATAGCTCCTTGCATACACAATAAAACTTCCCTTATCTTTGGTTGCACAAATGATTCGTAGAACAATATTACTCTTTTTACAAACACCAATCACCTTTCCACACATTGGGATCTCGTGAAGGAGGCTTCACCTGATCACCATTCGAGACAACCATAAATGATAAACCCATCTTCGTGCCATACGTGTCCCAGAATACTTGTGTTGGACTCAAAATTTTTAATGATAATTAGTACACCTTAATTAGCAACGGCATTGTTCCAGAAATTTGTTGTGCCAGGTGTTCTTATGTACTATCTTAATAATATTAATTTCACACTTCACAAATCACAATAGTAAAATTAATAATTATCATAAGTCGACCGAATATGGACTGAGAAGCATAAAAGAAATTAAATTAATTGTACTAAAGTTGAATAATCTTTGCAAGCTTTGGATCTCGTATCTAAGAATAGCAATAAAATATCCGAAAGTAGGCTAAACAAATAACAATAAAAACGTGTTGAGATAACGAAGAAATCTCTCTCATTATCTAGCTCAAAACAAAACTTAAACTAACATCATTATTAATTAGATAATCTACCCAACCACAATGCATTTTCTGCCAGTCAACACAAACACGTAGGCAACCTCATTTGGGTGCTGCATGCACAAGCAAACCCTAGATTTTGGACAAGTAATTACCCGTTTGAGTATATAAGATGTAAGCACGGTTTATTTGACTATAAATACCCCCTTTTATTATCGATGCGTATTCCACATAATAGTCCACTTAGTTTGATTAATTAAATGAATCGGTGTCGCCTTGATACTAAGCATGGAGACATTAGCCCAAGATTATGGTCGTTTTCAATATAATTATACAGAATAGCAATTAAATAATTGTAATTATCATATAACACTAACATAACTAGCTAGCTAGTACTAAGAGCTGAAACTTTTACTCCATGCTTTGCTCGTAAATAGTGAAACTGTAATTAATTAGCTAGGGGTAAAAAAAATGCATTCAAAGTGAACCAAAAGAGGGTGAGAGACTTGTAACAAGTTAAGACGTCATTCTTAAGAAAATCAATGAGGATCTAGTGGAAGATTAATATAATAGCATTTGACCATAAAAACAATAGTATATACAGACATAAGTGAATAAAGACACTTTCGCACATGATTTTCACCGTATCTTCAGATGATTTGACGCTTGTTGAATAAGAAGTAAAGCATTTTACTTCCATAATCAATGACCAAATTCGATGAAGAAAATAAAATACTAAGAAAAGACATAGTGCATCTGGCTGACAGCTGTCCTCAATGAGGTGTATTTGCAATTAAAAATAGGGTTAATATTTAATAAACCGATTGATTTTTTTTTTTAAGTTTTATAGTAATTAATTAATACATATATAGTAACAGGCTTCATCATTTTTAATCACCAGAAATCCCTCCAGACTAACAGGTGGCACTATCCAGAAAGTTTTTCATATAAAATGGTTTTGAGCTTACCCAAATTGACCACTGATCAACTTTGTCTATAATATAGTTTATTATTATAGTTTTAAATGAGTGAAAAACGCAAAAAGAAATGATTAACATTTTTCAATAGAATCTCACACGTCAAGAACGTAAAGACTATTGTTCCCGTTGTTGTTATCAGGAGAGCGTCAGATTTCTTGACGCGGTTGGCTATTGATGGTCGGTTAAAGCTTTTTGTGGTTTTCAATGTGGTGGTCCCACTTTTTGAACTTTAATAACGTATTGCATGGGGACACGTACACAAGTCAATTGGCTCCAAGCTCTCAAATAATTAATTCCGGCTAATTTTATAAGCTGCAAGCAGAATTTTACGTTAGCAATCGATTGTCATGCATGCAAATATAATATACATATACACGTATACGTACAGAATTAATGATATATATGTACGTTTATTTATATACATGGAATTAAACCTCACTAATTAATTCGACGAAAATCTAATGTTTATGTACATGAGCTTATAAATTGCTCCCAGCAATATCGTGTACGTTGTACCTGTGCATGGATATATGTAGCAAATAATGTGAGAGTAATCCCTGAAGTCAACACTTGATGAAACAAGAAGAAGAAATAAAGAGAAACGACATTCGCTGTTGCTTGATGCAGTGAGAATGATACAAGTCGTTTCTTATCAGTCAGGAGTAATACGCAGCATTTCATTAAGCAGATAGAAGAAGCGAATGAAAGAATGACATGAGTGCATCAGCAACAACCTGCCACGTCAGCATCTTTCTCAATGGCTGTATATCGAAGCATTAAGTTTGTATTTTTTATTCGGCAGTTTTTCTTTTTTCTTTTTAGTTTTTCTCTGAGATCGGTTTTGTGATAGAGAGAGAAACTAAGATTGTGTCAATTCTAGAGAGAGAAAGAGCAATCAGTTGAGAGAAAAGTGTTTGGGTTAAGAGAAAATCGAAAGCGAACTTGAGGAATTGTCCTCTGTGAGATTTTTTGGGAAACACTAGAGAGATTTCTCGGGTAGAGTCTAGAATTTGGGTTTTCTGTATTCATTGTAATCTCGTGAGGAATTTAAGGCATATTCTTCTTCTTGATAGTGGATTCAAGCTCTCTTGTGGAAGAGCTCAGCAAGATGTAGGTCAAGATTTTGGCCGAACTTGGGTAAAATCTTGTGTTGTGTTTATTTGATTTCTTGGTTTGATATGAGGATTTCTGAGACTTGGTGTTAGATTCGTTCTAACAATGGTATCCGAGCCTTTGGTTCGAAGGCAATTACTTGAAGACTCAAGGTACAAGATTAGGGTTTCTTGAATTATGATGTTCAAGATAGGATCAACAATGGGGACAACGAACTTTGAACTTGAGAAATTCAACAGATCAGGGGATTTTGGGCAATGGAGGAAGAAACTAAAGGCAATTTTGGTTCAACAAAGGGTTGCGAAGGCCCTAGGTGATATGAAGGACGTGGATGCCCCAGATGCTGAGAAAGCAGAGATGCAAGAGATAGCCTATTCCGCCATCATTCTTTATCTAGTAGATAATGTGCTTAGGCACGTTAATGAAGAAGATAAGCTGCAAAGGTTTGGCTGAAACTTGAATAACTCTATAAGATGAAGTCCTTAACTAATAAGATTTATCTGAAAAAAAGTCTCTTCAGCTTTAGAATGGATACTAGAAAGAGTCTAGAATAAAATCTTAATGCCTTTAATAAGATTGTTATAGATCTTGCTAATATTAGTGAAAAGATTGAGGAAGAGAATCAAGCTATGATTCTCTTAATCTCCTTGCCCGAAACATTTAGAGAAGTGAAGAATGCCATTAAATATGCCAGAGATAGTCTCACCTTAGAGGATGTATTATCTGCTTTAACATCCAGAGAATTATAAATAAAAAATATACTGTCCCAAATTGGTGATGAAGGTCTATTCTCAAGAGGAAGAAACCCCAAGAGAGAATCTGCAGGGAAAAAGAAGAATAGATCAATCTTAAGGTCCAAGTCAAGGAATGGATTAAGAAAATGTTTCTTTTATAATAAACTAGGACATATAAAGTGGTTTTGTAAAGAGTGGAAAAAGAAGCTCACTCAACAGAAATCTGATGAAGGGGATGCTGCTGTAGCAAGTCGTGATAATGGATATGATAGTCTAAAGATGCTAGCTACTGGGATGAATCATTCCAA